TGCAAGCTTATCGCCAACAATCACAATGCATACAATCTGTTGTGAAAATGTTGCAACAGTTGAAGGAGGAGAACTGGTGTCTTCCCATAATGTACACAACCTGCTTAGATTTGCGCATACTAGCGCAAAAATGCGAAGAACTTGGCAGCAGCAGCAAGCCGGGGGAAATTCTTGAGAAGGCCGCAGACTGCCTAATGAGCTGTTTCCGTGTATGCGCCGCAGATAATAGGTACGTCTCATTGCCTTTAGATTTCGCCATTCAGAGGCAAATTAGTTTTATCCCATCTATTCGCTTGTTAGATCTTCGGATGACGACACTAAACGCCTTGGCATGCTCAACCTTGTTAATCAGCTATTTAAAGTCTACTTCCGCATCAACAAATTGCATTTGTGTAAGCCATTGATACGCGCCATCGATAGCAGCACCTTCAAAGACTCTTTCCCATTGCCAGAACAGATAACATATAAATATTTTGTAGGCCGTAAGGCCATGTTCGATTCAGACTATAAAAGCGCCGATGAATTTCTATCATTTGCGCTGCGCAACTGTCCACGCAATTTCCCACGCAACAAGCGGCTCATACTAATCTACTTGGTGCCGGTGAAGATGCTACTTGGCTACTTGCCCAAGAAGGAAAACCTCGAACGTTTTGACCTACTACAGTTTCATGAACTTGCTGTCGCTCTAAAAGAGGGCAATGTTCGCAAATTCGACGAAGTTATACAACGTCATGAGATATTCTTCATCAAATGCGGCATTTATTTGTTGGTTGAAAAATTGAAATTCATTGTCTATCGCAATCTCTTCAAGCGTGTGTACATAATCAAACAGACACATCAATTAGATTTGCGGGCATTTCAAGCGGCATTGCAATTTGTCGGCGAAACAGATATGAGCATCGATGAAACGCATTGCATAGTGGCTAATTTGATTTTTGAGGGTAAAATCAAGGGCTACATCTCATACAGTCACAACAAGTTGGTGGTGTCCAAGCAGAATCCTTTTCCACCACTTAATACGGTTTCCTAGGGGCGGCTGATGCGTGGTGCAGAGGCTCACGGACCAGGATCTTTAAGTTATTTATAAAGCATTTACATAGTACATACATACATACTACACATACATGGTACGCTAATAAATTGTATTTTATTTTATTTTTAGAAACTGTAAGATATGCATGTCAATGCTATAGTTAGATTTTGTGAACTCATGATTATGACTTGCGCAAGTGTAAGAAAGAAACAATTCAAATAAATAAGAAGACTTCTTATTTCCCATAGCGGAAATGCAACATGTTAAAAAAAATCTTCAGCAATGGATGACGGCACTGAACTATGTCGCCTATGTTTGCGTCATGACAAATCAATTGTGAATATCTTTGAGCAGGAGTCTCCACAGTCAGCACAAAAAACGCCACCAACCGTTGGAGCAGAGAAAAGAATGCCAATGGTGGAACGGCTGTATGACTTGTTAGGTGTTAAGTTTCAGCAATCAACGTTGTTGCCTAGTAACATCTGCCAGCGC